ATTTGAACTAATAATAAATGTCTGTGTAGGTAACACCTATACAAATATATTTTCAAAAGAGATTGAATTTCCAAAAATATCTATCAATAATCTCCATTTGTACTTCCCCGTCCTTGTGTTTACACTCCTTAATTTCTGAACATTTCCTAACAGTGTATTTATATTTCGTGTAAATATTGTTAATGAAAGTTATATACCCAAGTTGAAATAAGTTGTGCCTAATTTAAATATAAATATGTTGAAACAACACAGAAGATATATATCCACTGCCCTCCACTGGACAGAATTGTGGTGTTTTTCTTATGATTTTTTCAAATATATTTTCATCATTTAACTGGATTTGGGCGACAGTATAAAAAGACAATTAAGTTATTTTGTTTAAGACGTCGATAAGAATTAAGGACTGACGCGTTGATGCTCCAGAAACATTTTACTTTTTAGACTTACGGCAGAAGTTACACATATAACAACTCTTTCACCTACGTGGATTTTCGAACATCGCGAAAATATAATGATTGTTACAATACAAATAGTGTTAACTCATATAGGAATAATTCGCTTTCGATGCAGTAGTCCCATTCCCACTTTACACTTGTGCTAAAATATCTCATGACATTATTATTATTTTTCTTACAAAATATATGTTTAAAAAATGGCAATAAATATCATATTAGAAGCAACAAATAGCATAAGAGAAAAAGAAGAAAGTTTGACATATCTTCATTAAATACAATCTACTTTGTTTGGAAACAAATTTTATAAAAAGACACACAAACTTGACATGAATGTTCCTGGAAGAATGACCTCATATGTTTACTTTCAAACTTCGAATCTGAAAGCAAACACAGGATTTGTAACTGCCTGTACAGAAAAGGCACTTGCATGATTTATTCAATGTCAATTTCGTTTCCGTTTACCAATGCAACATTTTAATGTTCGGGCTACGATATCCGCCATTATGGATTGGTCACTTCGCTTTCAGCATGCTGTCGGCTTGTTTAAATCAGAGACTCTCAGATAGCGTATTTTAGTCGCTGTTTATCATTATATATAATAAAATAATATTTATGAAAACGTTGCGAGATTTTTTAATATTGATTAGAAAAATTGGTCCGGCTAGTCAAATTGGTCCTCTACAGACGTCCACCACACTGCCAAGATATCCATAGTTGTGAGGGAAACCCTATCCCTTGCCAGGGGCGCCACCACGCATGCGCAAGGCGGGAATGTAGTCACTTCTTTCAACCCATTACTCTCATCAACTAGATGCAGATATTTGGGGAGGTGGGAGGGATTAATTCCTGATGTGATAGAGGTGGTATTCTTAGAATTATTCACAATGATAACTATTGTTTGATAATTCTTGTGAATACCTCACCTCTATCACATCAGTTCCAGTATACACCAGAGGGACCGGCGGGTTCTGGTATCTAGCATCCCTTAGATATTTGGCTAGTGGAGTGGTAAAACCAAGGATTATATCCCAAAAGGGGATCTAAAACGGATGTGTCTAATAGTCTACTTCCAAGACTTAGACGTATAGAATTTTCAAAACGTCATATGAAGGGTATATGTATATTCCCTTGTGATACTTAGACATAGTATGACGTCACTTCCGGTGATGACGTCATCTGTGACGCCCAAACTCGGCGTGGAGATTTGTGCCAGTTTATAGCTATCTATGATAACTGATTTGCCATCCCGCTACAGTGCCCTCTGTGATGTCCTTTTCTGACGAGGGCTTGCAAGAGATAAAGAGGCATTTTCTCTGCTTTCTGTGGGGTTGAGTTGCTGTAATGAAGTATCTCAAGGCTCTTATGGGACATCTCAATCTATACGGGAAGTCCACACTTTTACTTAAGGCTGGTATTGTATATTGCCTGTCCGAGTGTGCCGAAGGTTGACGACTGGTTTTTGGCAATAAATTCTGGGAGCGATCTAAACGACTCTGATTTCATTCTTGAGTATGAGTTACAGTGGAGGTGTCAATAGCGTGTAATTCTGACACGAGCCATGGCTAGTAGAAAAACAACAACAACAGTTTCCCTGGGGATAATAGTAATGTCGCCCTACTCATGGGTTCATATGGTGTTATAATACTGATGTCGTAATTTCTTGTCGTTTTTTAGATAGAGCAAGAATTCAGCCACTATAGGTATCGTTATTTCCCGTTATTTGCTTTTTTCATTCTCCACTCGACAAACCTGCCCCATCTGTTATTGTATAGGGCAGACGATGCTGGTCTCCATGAGCTTGCCACTCTTCGAGCAGCTGATTTAGAGTAACCGGTGGCTTGCATCTTATTCGAGATAACTTCTAAGCGTGAATATGGAGGTTGTCGAAGCGGCCGTAAAATATGTCCGCATTGGTTGTCTCAATTCGACTTTCCGAAAAGTGTTGTTATCTCCCTTTGCAAAGAAAATTAGAGTGGTGTCCCCTTTTCACGTTCACTTCCGCCGAGTAAACCTTCAAAATGGCGGCAAATAACAATATTGACGTTGATGATGAATTCCATCAAATGACAGTTAAAGAATTGCGTGAATACCTACGGGGACGAAATCAAAAGGTGACTGGGGTAAGAGCACAAGTTTTAGCGCGAGCAAGAGGGGCGAAGGCACTTCGTTTGGATGCAACCACCTTAGTACAACCCAGTAAAGGCGTTATATCTATGCAACGGAAGCTCGTCACACCCAGCGGATATCGAATGCCAGACCCCACTACATTAATGACTGGATGGAACGATGCTGTTGAATCATTGCCGGAATTCTCAGAGAAGGAAATCTACAATTATATGGTACTTAGCAACCATAGGACTTCAGACAAGAAACCCATGATGGCTAAACGACAAATGAAGGCAGTGGTGTTTTACCAAGATAGACATGTTCACGGCGTAGCTCTACACGATATCCATCACGACTGTGACCATATGTTTGTCAGATGCCGTGTCATACCATCACTACCAACAACGGATCCAAGGAAAAGCCCTGATCACGACGTTTGGGCAAGTCTCTCAAAAGTAACAGGTCGTGTTCATTCAGCAAATTGTACTTGTGCAGCTGGGTATGTAGACTTTGCATTTATATAACTAAAGTCGTGTCATCTATATCTAGATAGCTGTTTTTTTTACAAACAAAACGTTTAAAAACCTTTTCAAAGCAAATATGTTCCAAATATTAAGTTTGATCAAAAGATATGTAAATTATTAATTCCAAATACCAGCAAAGTAATTGATACATTTTAAAATCTCGTCCTTTGTGGGACCTCTCATTCACTTTTGTTAATTTAAATAAATAAACAGATTATTGATATTGTTGCTTATTAATATGTGACATCTTTAGCTGATTACATTAAAAATAATAATTATTTAGGGTGAAATAGAGGAAACATGACTGTGTCATTTTATATGCATTTGATTGTTATTTCATAATATTAAAGCTAGAGTCCAAATAATATTAATAAATATAACTAATTTTGTTTTTGCAGTGCCGGGGAGGCTTGTAATCATGTATCAGCCCTGCTTCATGCCCTTGCAGACATTAGTCAGAAGAAAAAGGATGGTTTGCTTTCATGCACATCAGTTGAGTGCAAGTGGAAAATTCCCAGAAAAAGGAAGTTGGATCCAATGAAATCGGATGACTTGAACCTGATGTCAAGTGGCAGGAAGAGTCAACAAAAAGGTACTGGGACTACACAAGGTACTGTTGGAATACAGAATGGAACAATCAACAAAAGATCAATTTGTCCCAACAGCAACATGCCACAGACAACAATAAATCTCACAAGATTTAATAAGAAGTTAATTGGTCATGAAACAAAAGGTAAATGTGGATATGTTGTTAATACAACTACTGTTACTCAAGCTCCTGAACCTATGCCAGAACTTCCAAAAATACCATGCATTGATCGTTGTATTCCTGACTATGTTGATATTAAATCGCCAACCTGTCAAACTACCTTTCAAAATTATTTTGATTCCATGAAAGTGTCAGAAAAGGATGTGAGGTCAATAGAGAGAATGACAAGAGGACAACATAAAACAAAGTTTTGGAAGGAAGCCAGATTGGAAAGGATAACAAGTTCACAGTTTGGCAAAGTATTTATCCGACAGACATCTACAGCTCCAGATAGACTTGTATGTGACCTAATGGGATATCGGGGCGAATTTGGTAACAGACATACCAGATGGGGACTTTCACATGAATCTGCAGCAAGGCGGCAGTATATCAACAAAATGGCAGGTCTTCATCCACAGTTGAAAGTGTCTCAGTGTGGACTAATTGTGAATACAGACTACCCTTACCTTGCAACTAGCCCTGATGGACTTGTGTCATGCACAGATTGTAGTACATGTAGTAATCAACATGGCTTAGTAGAGATTAAATGTCCATCTGTTTTCAGAGATCTAACACCAGAAGAGGCTGCATCAAATATAAATTTCTTCTGCCATATTGTGGACAATAATGTGACTCTAAAAGAAAACCATGCATACTACTTTCAAGTACAAGGACAGATGGCCTTGACCAAAAGAACTTGGTGTGATTTTGTGGTGTGGACTCTCAAAGGGATATCTATTGAATGTATCTATTGATTACATTTGACGAGAACAAGTGGCATCAGATGGTCACAAGGCTTCGCAGTTTCTATCTGTCAGCCATTATTCCTGAAAAATATACCCTACGTGTCCAGCGAGGTGTTTCACTGTATTAGATTGACCGTTGTACTACCATCTTACCAGTTGTTTTACCCTATGCTCACTCAGTCAATTCAATGTTTCACTCAATACCATATCATATCATTCTTTGATAGTCATAGATACTTACCATTCAGTGGGTGAATTGTTACTTAACGCCGCATTCACGGCGACTGACCATTCAGATAGTATGTCGCTTAGACATAGGATATCTTCTTCTCCTTGTAATTTCTTGAACCATTCTATTAAGCCATAACATATCATAACATATTTTCTGTAACGTCTTGAAATGACAACATGGACAACATGATTAAAGAAAATCATCAAGCGTTTATTTCTTTCATTTTTAGTTATTGTTACAAAAATTAGAACCATGGGACTATGATCCTGCTGTCACAGCTAAAACATGAAATTGTTTATCTACTTATATGAAGAGTCAGGATTTTTATATCAATGCTTTGATTCAATAAGTAAAACAAAAATAGACAGCCAGTAGGTGGTCATGTCAATAGTCATATTCGACAAAAATAGACTTATTTGTCTAGACTTATTTGGCTCAATGTTTTCAATACAAATTGTTATCATGATACCATGATTATTAAGTTTAAATATAGCAGAAAATATCAAGTGACCATTCACATCTGGAGCTGCAATAAGATTATGCTAATCCTACTAATTACAGAGCAAGCAAGGAACTGTCATCAAAGAAGTAATTGTCATCAATTTCTTGGTCATGAGGATAAAGAGGGGGAAGCAGAGTAGTCAAAGCATTACAGATTTTCCAGATTTTGTTTACAGATTTTGAAATTGTAATTGGAATTATACCCTGCAAAATTCTGAAATTCTTGACACGTTCCATGTGCCTTTCAACATGGATTCTCAAGTTCGCTATTCTCCTAGTTTGTTCAATTTCTACAGCAGTCAGCTGTTTTCTCTTATGTTTCTTTGGTGGAATTATTAGGAGTATACCTTTTGGTGTTGTCAAGTCTGAGATTGTAAATCCCTTATCCGCCATGATTGCATCACCTACATCACACAAATCTAAAAGTCCTGATTCTACTGTTATTTGCCGGTCACTTATAGCTCCTGACCACAAGTCAGAGACAAAGCTAACAACACCATTTGGAGTGACACCAACAAGCGCTTTAAATGTTATGTGACTTTTATAATGACTGTACATTTGTGACTGTTTACCAATAGAGTAAGGTTTTTCTGTAAATAATTCTGTACAATCTATAACAACCCTTGTATTTGGATACAGATCTTTAAAACCTTGAGGCATAGTTGTATTAATAGTATCCATTGATGGCCAGACAACTAGGAAGGATAAATTGTTGTACAAAATATCAATCCATCTATTAATGACATCAGCACAGCAGCTTCTGGAAATATGAAATCGCTTTGATAAAGCAACAACTAGGAGTCCAAGTCTAAGACGCATCAACACTAGAAAGAACTCGTCTATCAAAGACAAAGATTTAGGGCATCCGATATTGGAAGTTGGATAGTCCCTGTCATGAACCTCAGAAAACTTGTCAAATAAACATGAAAACTTTTCTGCATCCACAAGACCTGTATAATAGGTTACCAATTCTGAATCATTCTTCACATCAAAAAATGTTAAATCAGGAAGTTTGACTTGAGTGGCTTGATTGCGAAAGACTTTTTTATTTTCAGTCTCAGTCTGAGTCATTGCACAGGATGTTTTCTCAGGATTTAAACACTGGAACATTACATCGTCAGTTTGAGTAGACATGCTTCTAACTTCCACCATTTCTGTTTGCGATGATCCATATCTTATGCAACTGATGTCGTCTTCACACACAGCCTCACAGTAGTCATGCAGCATAATTGATGCAACGTCATAGGATCTGTCAAAATAATAAATAGCTTTTCATCACATTAAATAAAGTTTCTTTCTCGATATTTTGAGGTTAAAGGAATTAAAATTAATAAAAAATAAATTAACATAAATCTGTTAATACAAAAGCTAATATAAGAAGTGTATTATCAAGTTTATTGGTCAATGTTCTATTATATGTTATGCTCTTTATATTTTATTGTTCTGTAAGTAAGAGAGACTACACCATGATTTTTATATTTTGTCTTGTTAAGCATAACTTCTCATAATAATCAACAAATTCAAAAAAAGAGAAAAAACTTATGTTCCCGCTGTACCTGGCACCTTGACTGAATGTTGTGGAATGATGTTCAATTTCATCAGACTGAGGAGTCCCTCCGTGTATCTGCATAGTCACTTTGGGAGATTCAGGGTCACAGGCCTGCTTGAATGGGCTTTCATTTGGCTTAGAGGTATCAACAAAGTCAGCATCAGACACCTGCAACAAATTATCAACAGACACTGAGACATTTTTTTCTATTTATTCAAACAAATAAGATGAAAGAGAGGATACATAGAATTTTAAGATCAACACAACTTGAAACGTTTTTTTTGTTTTTTTTTCATTTCAAGTTTTAATCATAGCACTTTTTCACAATCACATAACATTCACAAACGATAAAACACATTAAATACACCAACAATAGCATAAATCTTATAAGAATCAACATAACTCACTGTGCAAGTACTGTAATTTTTCTTCGGAAAAATCGATGGAACATCATGCCCTATGCCTGGACCGTTACCACCCACGAAATGTTCTGAGCATATTTCCGTGTGCTTGGTCACTGTGAGGTCTTTTCTCACTAACCGAAGTCGCCTTATCCACGCTTGTCGTAGGGACTTGCTTACTGGAATGACGTGTAGAGATACTATTCTTTCACCGACTATCTTTCCCCTAAAATTGCTACAAATACAGCAGTATTGCTTCCCCATTTTGACAGCTTCGAAGCAGCGCGCTATTTTCGACGGAAGTTGACACTACTCGGCGGAAGTTCATCCAACCAATTGAAGAGTTCCAACTCAAGACGGATAACTCTCATTGAACTTGACTTTTCGGAAAGTCGAATAGGTCGTGACATACTGGGAGTTTCAGAGGTACTTCTACCAGAGGTTGTAGAAGTCTCGGAAACCAAGCCCTTTCTGGCCATGCCGGGGCTATGAGGATTATGACACAGTCTGTTTCCTCTATTTTCTTCAGTACTCTGTCTACGAGAGCCCATGAGGGAAAAGTGTATGCAAACATTCCCTCCCATTCCATGGCGAGCGCATCGACTTGGAGTGCTTGTGGGTCTGGTACCGGGCTGACGTAGACTGGTAGATTGTTGTTGAGACATGTGGCGAATAGATCTAGGTTTGGAGTATCCCATAGCTGGGTTATCCACTTGAACACCTCGGGATGTAGTGACCATTCTGTGGGTACTATCTTGTTCTTCCGGGATAGGTAATCTGCTAGGGTATATAGCTTGCCCGGTATGTGTCTTGCTTCGATCTTGCAACTAACTGAGTCTACCAAGGCATATAAACATGTAACCTCCTTCAGTAAAGGCTGAGACCATGTGCCTCTGTAGGTTAAATCTTGGATAGATGTGAACGGGCATAGGCGAGACATCCACCAGCGTCTCGACTTGACGGCCTGATCGAGTGGGCTTGTTATCGTGTGCTCTACTCTTGCATATCTGTTTTCTGGGGGTGCTGCTATGCCCTTGTTGAGTAGAATCTTGCGCCTATGTAGGTGATGCCTGTGTGGGTACTAGCTCTGTTTTAGTGGGTGAACCAGGAAACCTAAGAGTGTTAGTAGTGAGGCACACTGTGTTTAAACTAATTGCGATTGTCCTGATCGGCCAATAGGAAATCGTCTATATATCCGAGAAGCCTTATGAACTGATATGGGCGCAAACCGATGATGGGATTGGTGAACCTGGTGAATAACCATGGGGCTAAGGATATGCCGAATGGTAGTACCCTGAACTGGTATCTCTGACCGTTGACTGCAAAGCGTAGGTACCTGGAATACTGGGGAGTAGAACCCGTGAGTGGTCTCTGACTCCTTTAAGATGCTGATAGCCCCTTGCTGAACTTGTGTAATCTTGGGTCGATGTCTGTAAACCGGCTAGTTCGACTGGATTCGATGTGGTCGTATCTTTGATCTTCTGTAGTTCTAACTCGTTATCCATTGGGCAAGCGATGTCGGTAGGGTCTGAAGGCATTTCCGGTGGTATCCCCTTCGGGGACTGCTTCTGCTTCCTCCTCTGCGAAGTGGGATGATCATCTTTAGCAGGAACTGTGCTGATATCCAGTCTTGTGCTGATTGAAGATCTTCCTGCATCTTCAGTATGTGTTCCAGTGAGCTGTGGATTAATCCGGTCTGCTGTAGTGTCATCTCCGTGGGGTGTCTAAGTGTAGGCCTACGTTCTGATTGTTCGGGGTATGACGTGGAGAATTGCAGCTGCAATCCAGTTAATGTATGAACTGAAATTAATCATCTGTTTGTTGACATAATCTAAGTCCCTGATTATGGCCATGTCAACGTGCATTTTAGAGTTAGTTTCTTAACCAGATAGTAGAAAAGTTCAACGATGCTCGGCTGTTGTGCGTAGGGGCAACTTGTGTCATGTAATCACTCTTATTAATGGCAGGCATACCCAGTCTAACATTAAGTGCCGAATGTAGCATTTAATGAATATTCGATTCTTGATGACATCATCAATATATGACGAACAGGGAAGGGAGTAGTATAGGTAATGATGGTTCTGGCTCACTTCCACTGGAGCCAGATTCATATACCTATACCACCACTACAGGGGGAATTTTTTATGCCAAAATGACTTATGCGATTCAACGATAGTCATGAGATTCAGCTAAATTGACTCTAGCTCACCACCACCTGGAGTCTATGATACAATTTTTTTATAGGTAATGATGGTTCTGGCTCACTTCCACTGGAGCCGGACTTATATACCTATACTGCTACTACAGGTGGCATTTTTTATGCCAAAATGACTATGCGATTTAACGATAGTCATGAGATTAAGTTAAATTGGCTCTAGCTCACCAATACCTGGGGCCAATCATTGCTTTAGATGAGCCTAAATGGTAATAAAAATATTCTTCATTATTTTTATCGATAAAGCGATATTCAACATTTTTATTAAGTTCTTCGTTCATTTTACTAGGAGACCAGACTATATAACTACACTCTTCTTGTAAATTGATAAGAAACAATTGATAACCGTATTTGGTTTGTTTGACATCACTGATATAATAAAAACCTTGTGGTAATTCTCTCCATTTAATAGCTTTCTCCATTATTATATACTTATGTAAGCATTTGTCTAAATGTGATCAAACGAGAGTAAGCAATCTATTTTTAATCTCCAACCAGTTCTTTGGTTTTGGCACGGAATAATTGACGCGCATGTTGCCTCCCCTGTTCTATGAACTTTTTTTTCTCGTCTTCGCTAATACCACTGGTCTTATCACATTTTGATCGAATCTCCTGCTTCATTTCGTTGTATTTGGTGAGTTCAGACAGCACTAAACGAAACTCATCTTCGGATATCTTACAATCGGCCATTGCTGTCGAAATATGATCCTCAATGCTGTTCAACTTTGCTTCGGCGAGTATTCGAATACTATCGTGTTTTAATGCTTTCTTTTGTAACCTACAAGAAATGAATTTTATCGCTATTCCTGCCAGTCCCGAGATTCCAGCTGTTATTTCCATGCCGAGCACGATAGGCGCGGCGATTATAGTTGATAGTAAACCGATACCCGCTACACCGGGTCCCATGCCAGATACTACAAGAGCGGTGTCAACTCCGTCCAGAGCATTCACGGCTCTGTGATACTTTTTATACAATCCAAGTCTCAACTCCCTATCCTTCTCTATTCGATGTATTATGTCGCTTATTTGATGTAATCGAAATCCATCAACAGTTTCCATCTTTTCAAATGCTACATCGAGCGCTGGATATAAACTCATAGTGTATATTACGATCATATAATAGTCTTTAATTAGTCTTGCTTAAATGGTTTGAGACTATACATCAACCTTATCAAATGTATATTATACGGCAAGAATATCTTAGAAAGAGAAATGCTGTCACTTTTAATAATTTGGACCCCCTTGAGGGTTGCAACGGGCGATGCTCCGATATGAATAATACTGCAACGTCGACGCTCGTGTTTCTTTAGCCATTTAATCGATAGACCTGGTAATATTTCGAAGGCATTTTCCGGTGCATCTCCGAACAAGACTTCAATAATAAGCGTGGAAATATTAGGTATTGCACTCAAGTTATCTTTAATATCTTCGAATTCAGTAATCAAATTTAAAGTAACATTTTTTAAGGCCGGACGACTATATAACATATGACCTGGAATTTCTGGCAGGGGGGTAACTAACACACTTTTTCGTTTTGATGGGATATAAGCCACGAGTACGATGCCACTATTTATTATCTTAGTTAAATTATGTCCCTTACCCATCATCACATAAGGTGGGGTAATGACGATATTCAGTAGCCACTCAATGTTTGCTTCAACCATAGTCCATTTATTATCGTCGTTGCGAGTAATATTATACGAAGTGTTTTTAATGAGTCTACTAACGTCGACATCGCTTAAATCTTCTAGATTACCCGTGAATGTGACTTCTTTCCGCTTGTATACATTATCTTGTAAGTGTAAAGCGTATAACTTACCATTGTAACCGGGTTTATCAAATCCTGTGTCTCCGAGATCGGAAAGCGCAATTGTATTACATTGCCTGAGCGTTCCAGGGCCTGATGCATCAACCATTATTTATAATATGGAGTGTTACACTTAAGTATCCTATATGTACAGGTTGATGTTTTACATCTAATACAGAAATTTTGAGGTCTGAAATAATACCACGCTTTAACTTTTTATATTGTAATAACGAGAAAGATTCCGTTCTACCACTATTGTATTTTTCATCTTTCACTGGAACACTTCTGAGTAGAGTTGAAGGACTTTCTAGTTGAATATTATCCGTCGTACTTATTTGATCAAGATGGATGAACAACTCTTTATAGGGAACTAAATCGGGTAAAGCACGTGCCTAATGCCATGCCTTGTGAAATGATATTTCTCCATCTATAAATCCAAGTGTAACTGCTAAGTTCGTTAAAATCTTTGCATTATTTTATCCAGAGTCGAATTTCAGTCTCCCAGTCGCCTCATTTTGTGTGATACTAACTCCATGAGGCTTAAAAACTTCATCATTGAGTGAGCATACGCTGTAATACCCATCAGGTACATTAATGAATTTTCTAACAATATTATAGTCGTTTTCATCTAATATCAATATATTATGATTACCTCTCGCAGCACTTATATTGGTCCACAGTGGGTAATTCGTTACATCGCATAGTGCTACTTCGAGTTGTCCATCCGAGTTATTGATAGTTTGAAGCAGTTCAATAGACTGACCATTTGTTATTCCAGGGAGTGTAACATATATATTAAATATACAATGATACTATATCATAACTTAAATATGAAATCGAGATATATTACTAATCAATCGATTATAGTAACTGCCTCCGGTGCTGAGTTTACCGTTAAATTCCACGATATCTTTGAAAAATACAGTTTCACGGCAACTAACGATACAATGGTAGACGATTGGTTTAACCGTCCGATGCAATTTTGGCAGAATCAGTTAAACTTTGCCGTATGGTGTGCCACAATGTGGCGTATCTGTTAATGCCCCAGGATTTAAACTATATAAGTCTGTTATATTATTTCACATGTACTATCAGATTAGACGTATACTTAAAGAAATTAGTGCTCCATTACCGCTGGATCCAGCATGGAATCACGCAAATAATCATTATAATAAGAGGGCCTTCGAACGTATTTGTAATGAATTTAATGTTTCTACGAGTAAAGATTGGCGCATTAAAGGACCTAGCCATGGTCTAGGTATTCCGTACAATGGACAAAGAACTATTAAAGATAAAGCGATTATTTAATTAAAGAGGGTGTGATCCCTTCAGGCTTTGCTCTCTCGAGTAAACAGTTTAGAGCAGATCGTATGAACTTTGAGAGTGACATTCCTTATATTATAACAAAGTTTGTGCATCTAAACGATACAACAGACGCTTGGAATGAATTTCTTAATGATAAAACGGAAAATAATTTTACTAACCCAGGATTTGAAAGAGTTAATGAACCGATAAGAACTTATGTGTGGGCAATTCTCGGTGCACAATCGCAAACACGAACGTCCATTATCGGTTCTGGGACGGCGTTCGATGCTCAAAAACAGTTTGTCGCAAACGTGGAGGATGCCATTAATTCACCAGTTGACATACCATCGTCTATAAAGCGTTTTCAAGATGCATTACAGTACGCTCAATCCAAAGTGGACTACGTTTATGCGCCGGGACTATACATGTCTCCGAGTAATATGGAACTTAAGATCGGTCAAGTGATAGGTTATAATAATAAAATTGTTATCGCTACCGATCAACAAAAAACAGGTATAAATTCAGATATTAACGTCGAATTAATAACGCAAACAATCACGGGCGAAAAGGGAAAAGTCAAGCCGCAAACACCACATGTTTCACAACCATCTACTAACACACAAGTGCCACCGCATATTGAGGCTAAAAATCAACAACATATCGATGAAAAAACAGCGCTTGTAGTTGGTGGAGTCGCGGCTGGTTTACTTATGATTTGGTTAATGAACTGATTTGGATAAATAGTTCTTAGTGAATACATACAACAGCCCGGCAATTGCTACGATCAGACCCCACAAGTTTTGACTAAGCCAAGTGGTGGTCTTAGCTAATAAATTCAATAGCCAGGAAACAACACTCCCTATTATACCGGGAAGTGCGGCCGCGGCTTTCTCAGCGAGCTTTCCCAGTGCTGAACCTAATGCTTTTAAATGCTTTTAAATCCACTCTTTTATCCCGTTTTTATCGTTAGGCAGTGTACCACCACCTGTACTGCCACCTGTTAACGAGAGAGTCAAAGTCGATATAATAAAACCCAATGCGGTTAAAATACTGGCAATTGTTATTCCCTGTTCTCTGAACAATGTTTTAATTTTATAGGCCAGTGTAGTGTCATCGTTGAGGACTTGATCGATAGTTTCTCGAATTCGACTGATTTGCGAACGAAGTGCCTTTCTATTACTGGAAGCTGCTTCGAAGCTGCTTCCTCTTCTAAGTTACGCAATCTTTCCGCTACGCGGCGTCTACTGAATTCATCGCCCACCTGTTCAAGTTTTGTTTTCTCGTAAACTATATGCTTATCGATTTCGGATATCTTGGCCATATTATTCATGAGTTCTCCCCGCATTGTTCGCATTGCCTTGTCAAGACCTCGTAATTCCCTAATACTAAACTCTGATACCTGTAACGTGGAATTATCGTAATAGGTATGTAAGATTTCTGTGAGTCCGTCCGAGGCCACCTTCGAGGAAGCCTCCAAATCATCTGTATTACCGAGTTCAGTACGCACAGTCCTAAGAACCTTAGTAGTCTTCGCGGAAAGTCGTTGGTAGTCGACAAAACCTAATTCATCACAAACAGTGCCGATGCCGAGTTTAGCACTTATCGTAGACAAGGCTAGGGGCTTACGAGTACGAGAATGCATAAGATCAATATCCGGAGCGCCACACAGTCGCAATATTCCTTTACTATCTATCTCAAACTTTGAATATTCACGAACAATAGGACTATCATCTTTAAAGGAATCGTAATAATCATTGACGGTTGATTGTAAAAGTTCATCGTTAAGATTCGTGCC